TAGTTTCAGTGTAAGACTTGTTATGAGAGGATGTGAAACTAACCCACCCCCTTACGTGGCATTAAGATGGTTCCTGCAGAGCTGTGCCATTCGGTGAACACGAAGGTGGGTCACACCTGGTTGCTGTTACTTTTTGGTTTTATCTTACATGAGTTTTTGGCATGTGTATTTGGTGGATGGATAAGGAATTGGCTGGATGGCCACAATGGTCAATGGCTCAATGTCCAGATGGAGATCAGCGTCAAGTGGTGTCCCTCAGGGGTCTGCACTGGGACAAGTACTGTTTAGTATATTTATCAACAACACAGACAGTGGGATGGGGCAGACCCTCAGCAAAACCACAGCAACACAACTATATTCTCCTTCAGGGACACAACTCAATCTACACATGATGGCAATTCCTTCCCCAACACTCCTAAGTGTCCCAGTTCTTGCCTCTTGAGCATGGCAAATCCTGATTTCCTATTCATCTCCCAAAGTCAAACAGCCCCTTTGGAGATCCATCTTTCCTGATGCATATATAGAATTTTATTTTTATTTTTTTTAAATCAAAGTGTACTCATATGGCAGCAGAGTTACTCTTAAGGAGTTCCTGCCCCTCCACCCAGGAGAACTGGTCATGAGCCCAGACTGAACCACGGCGCTGAAATGACAAAAAGCCAGTTTTACACTTCAAGCTCAGTAACATCCTGATTAGAATGGAAAACATTAATCTCTTACACTGCATGGAAGTTTTGCTTATTAAAAAAAAAAAAAAAATCAGAGTTCAACATTAAAGTATTTAATTTTTTATAGGTCCAAAAGCAGGAAGTTAACAGGTTGTAAGTCTCCTTCACAACAGTGAATCTCTTAATATTTTAAAAGCTCAAAACTGGGTTTTTCATTATTGAATTTCCACTAACCTGTTTCCAGTGCTTTTTCTGTTTCTGCAGAAGCCTTAGAAAATATATTAAGCCTCCTTCCTACTTTGAGACTTCTATAAACAAAAAAAGAAAAATGGTATTTAGTATTTCACAACACTTCACAACATTGCCAGATAACAAATTTAAAAGCACAATATACTCTCATGAACTAACAGATCTGTGGAGGAAAAAAAAAAGATATAGTGACTCTCACTAAATCCTCAGGTTTTTAACAAGAGAAACTGTATATCTTCACTATTCGGCTATAACTTCCCAAAACACTTCCATGTGAAAGAATGATATAGTGACTCTCACTAAATCCTCAGGCTTTTAACAAGAGAAACTGTGTATATCTTCACTATTCGGCTGTAACTTCCCAAAACACTTCCATGTGAAAGAATGAGCATCAATCAAACATCATATTTGCAGTAATTTTTTACTGAAATATTAAGAAATCCAAACAAAGCTAAACAGTATCAAACCACAATACTCAAGCAATTTTGCAAAGTTGCAACTAAAAAGTGAATCTGGTGATCTGTGTTTTTTCCCTGTAAAAAGTATTGCACAATTCAAGAAGAGAAAAAGCAACAGCTAAATCAAACAATTCCTGCTTTATGACATAAATAGCCTTTTTGGAAGATTACACTGCCACCTTCTGTGCCATATGGCAAACACTCAAAGCATATCTGTGTGATATATTTTAAATAGCATCCCCCTATTGCTCTCTTCTGAATACAAAAATATTTCACTCTGACCATACATTTTTAATCATATTTATCTTTAGCATAAGCCTATAGTAAAAAAATATTTTTAAAAATCCAAGAGTTCAACAAATAATAAAGATTTTTTTTATACATGGAAACAAGAAAAAAACAATGCTTATAGTATAGAACACACTGAATTTTAGAACAAATGATTGTTTTAGTCATACAATCTTCCAGGTTTCCATTAAAATTCTAATAGTTCCTACTTTATGTTACTATATATTCACTGTTAGGCTGGCAATACTTGCCCTTCCTGGCCTTAAAATTTCACCTCTCTGGATTTACTGCAGATTTCTGACGGTCACAACTTCTGCAAACCTGCTCCTGTCATATTACATTTTACTGATGTAACTACCCTGGATCCATTTCAGCACAGAGCAATCTAGCAATCTAATTACAGAGTCATAAAAGAATGTTCATTTAAGATTATATTTTCCTATCTGTGTGTAACTCCCAATAACATTGGCCAAGGATACAAGCATGACTTGGAAGAACATTTATTTCGAAATGACTAGCTCAAATTACTACAAAGCAACATCACACATTTCACTGAAATCTCTTAATTCAATTTAAACTTTTATATTCTTCATAACCCATTATTTTCATATTATCAATAGATAAGTACATTCATTAGATTTTCAGGGATGCAGGAAGAAACATATGACTGAAGCTGGAGACAGCTTGCTCACTACAGGGGTTTTAAAAACTGTTTTATGGTACTGTTCCTGAAGTTATACACCACGTACAGTTTCATCACCCAAAGAGGGCAAGAGAGCCCCTCAGATACAATACATTTAATAAATGTTCTCAAACATAAGTGAAATTCACTTTACTTTGCAATATGCTAATAAATGAAAAGCTTAGCAAAGATACAGAATAAGATATACTGTATAAGCATGTAACAGCTCAAGTTTTCAGTTTATACTTCTGGATTATTTCTATTCTTTCAAACTTTGACAAACTTTCAATCCCACACCTTAAAGTATTTCTCATAGTCAGTGAAGAATCATGGCCTATTAACAAAGTTACTTTCATGTGATTACCAACTCTGATAATTATACACAGATTAAAAATATCTACAGAGCTATGCAGACACTGATAACAAAGTCAGCTCCCTTGCTCCTCAAACCAGCAGCTTCCAGCTGAATGAAAATCCCAGAACAGAAATATCTAAGTCAGGAGGGCTTGGTCTCAAACCTTGTTCCGCTTCTTCCCTTCAACTTCCACTACAAGAAGCCCCTCTTGCTCTTTCTACAAGCTTTTCAGCA